TTTTTTCCAATTCAAAAATAATTGGTATTTTTACAATCGGAGTGATTAATAATTTCTTGTTAACATCCAATACAGCTTGTAGTTGTGCCAACAAATCAATGCCAATCAGTCCGTCATATTTTTTGCTAAAATCAAAAACAAAGAATTTATGCTTATTCTTGTCTTTAAAAATATCAAAACTTGGTATTAATACTGCTTGGTCGTGATAAGAAATATTGTGAGGTGTTTGAATCTGAAATTCTTCTTGAAAAGTATAATTTCTGTAAAATTTATTAACTATTTTCGAAGACAGCAAACTTTTAGTGCTCCCTGTATCTATTAAGATATTTGCTTTTATTTCAGGGATGTACAGATAAGGCAAATTTGCTGCGGTCACGTTCAAGTTAATTAAGTTACTTTGTTGTTGGATGTGATTATATGAAAATTTAATTCATCAGCTTCCTCCTGAGAAGTGCTGGCTGTCGAAATTTCAGACTGTTGTAAGTTACTTACATTGTTGCACTCTGCGTATGGGTTATAAGTATTATATGGCATTTCTTCATTAGAAGGATAATAATTATTATCAAAAGAATATTGGTCATTTGGATCGAAATTTTGATCTTGATCGTTTTGGTATAAATATGAATAATCAAAGTTATCGGCATGACTCATCATATTTTGATAATCAAAGTATTGACTTGGATCATAAGGATTATTTTCAATACTTTGTTGGTTTAATTCTGTGAATGTATATTTGGGTTGTTGTCTTTGATTGTTAATCATTGTGTTGCCAGATGAAGTATCCATTGGCTCGGGTTTCTGTTTATTCTGATTGTTTTGATTGGGATTATTGAAAGGTGGTCGAAATTGATTATTTCGAATTATTTGGCTCGGTTTTTGGCCAGAGAAAAATGGTCTTTGGAAATTGGGTCTAAATTGTGAATAATTGGGTTGGAATGTATTTGGTCTGAATTGGAATGTATTATTTGGTCTTGGATAAAATGTATTTGGTCCTGATGATTGGAAACCAAATGGCCTGTGATTGTTATTGAATGGTGGTCTCTGAAATGCGAGATTTGTTTGCTGGTTATTTTGGTAGTTAATATTTTTGTTACGAGGGTGATTATTGCTGCTATTGTTATTAGCAGGAGTAACTCTCTGGTTTAGTCTGAAGTTTTGAAAGTTAAGTAAATTATTACGACTTTGGCTGTATAAGAAGTTTTCTTCCTCAATCACGAGAGACATTGCTTTTTCAAGGCTTATAGGGTCTCGTAAACGGATATTATTTTGTAGCTGACCTGGTAAACCTCTTATAAATGTTTTTAAGGCAAGATCGTTATAGTTTTGAGTTTTGATGTCAAGTTCGTCTTGTGTTAAATTCAATGAGTTTAATTTTGAGAATACCAAAGAACGTGCGTCTTGGCATCGCATGCCAAAATTATAAGGTGTTTCGGTTTTATTAGGTGATAGCGTGATTAAATCTTGAACAAGGCAATCCAAATTTCTTTGATCACCAAAACTTAACTCTAAAGCAAATTTTACATCGTTCCAAGTTTTTAATTCGTTAATTCGAGAACCAATTAAGCTGAGGGCTCGACCTGATAATTTCCCAATTATTGCTCTCACAATAAAGCTGTTGTGAACATCGTCATTGTCACGATGGAAATTACTAATAAGACAACTGCAATTATTGATGAAAATGGTTAATGTGTGCGGATCTCCATCATAAGGAGGAATAGTGTCCACATACAAACGTAACAATTGGTAATTGATTGGTTGATTTTGGTTAGGCATTGTATTATTTGGTAAATTCAAAGTTGGTTGTTGATTATTATGATTTGTTGTTTGAAAATTAATTAAATTAAATCTATTTATGATATTTTCGATTTCGTCTTCAGAATCAGACATAAATCGTTAAAAAGCAAAAAGAAAAAATAGTGACTTTATAAAAAATGAGCAAAAATCTATAAAAATAAACTTAAAATTTACTTACATTAATAGAAAAATGATTTGTTTCATTCCTGTAGCATTTATTTCACTTATTTTCTACACTTAACTACTGTTCCAAGAGGAAAGAAGCGATTTTTGTCTTCAACTCCCTAGATTTCTTAAACTAGCTGGTTTTGGCGATGTGGTCCTCCACCAGTTACTGCTTCAGTTTGATTTTCGCCGTTTGTTGCCCGGAACCACGATGATTGCCAAATTAACCGTAAACGGAACTTTTTGCGAAATTACGAGCGATTTTTGTCTCGACGATAACGCGACGTTTTGGCAAATCCTACCGACTGCGCCAATTTTAGGTTCGATTAGGGCAAGTTACTTTTTAAAAAACAAACTTTTAAAAGCAGGGACTTTATTACTCGAAATACAAATGAATAAAGACGAATTTTCATCCGTTACAATGGCTTAAATAAAATGGTATAAATGTAAAGTCAGCAGTAATAATCGTGTGGGTCGCTCGAAGTCGGATTGTTGTTACGGTTCTCATCCATAAGAGGCCATGTATAGAGTGTACATAACTAGCACCACTTGGCGGTAAGATTGCGGTGTTGCCTTTTTAACTTCATGGCTTGTTAAGTGTAGGAGGCTGTGGGTGGCCCCGTTTATACGTATAAAAACAGCTGGTTACTGGGAGCGCGAAGTGACCTTCTCCAATGTAATTGCGTGTTGCAGCGGGGCCGTTGTGAGATTGACTCGGACGGATAGTCTAGCGAGTTTAGTTTAGTCAGTCGCTTAAATTATTGTCTAGGAAATTTAGGAATAATAACGACAGAAATTTTTCCGTCGGGATCAAATTATAAAATGATAAGTAATTTGATCTGACGATTGTAAACTATTGAACTAAAAAAAAAAAAATCTTTCAAAAGGACCGAAATATTTTGCGCCAGTGCCACGGCCCCTTGGCCCCTTAGGGCCAGCCGCCACTGATTTCAATGATATATAGCTTCATCTCTGACAGTTTTCGAGCAAAAACACTTTATCTGTTTTTGTCTTTGACCGTTTTTGTCATGAGGAACAGTGTTATAGAAAGACCGTTCTCATTTTCCTTAAGGTGCGAAGTCCTTTTTTGAAACATTGTTCCCTATGACAAAAACGAACACGATGCAGATAAACCTATCAAACTTTATACCATTGAAATCAACAGAAGCAGAGCTATCCAACGAGATAATAATACAGGGTGTCTCATTTGAAAAAACGTATGTTTGGTTCATTATTCAAAAACTGTTATTCTTAGAGAAAAACTGACTTCGCCACTGGAATTTATGTAGAATGTTGAAAGACCTATGAGAACCCGTTGTCCCCTTTTCGATCACTCATGACAGAACCGAGATAGAAGAGGTGTCCCAAAATGCAACTTTTTCAAAAACACCTTGTATTTGAAATCGAAATGGGCGATGACAATTTTGTTGACAGCATCTTTTTAACAGAAAAGTAACCAACGTTCGCGAAAACCGTATCCTTCTAATTCCAATAGCAACTGAGATATCCCTTATTATGTATGTACAGGGTGTTTCAGATTCGAGCCACATCATTGGGATCTCGGAAACGGTAAGATATACAGGGTTGGTTAAATTGAGGCAAAGTTGCGTAATTTGATGCTTAACAAAATGCCGCTTTGATATTCATCAGGATATTCCGAAAACTTCCGGAGATATCCGGAAAAAATCGAAATTTAAAAAAAAATAATAATTTTTTCCTGACCTTATTTGAAGTGTTATTCCAAAATAAATGTCACTTCATCATTGCCACCTTTTCTCCCCTACAAGATGCTACCCTCAAATTTGCAATCTGACGTTTCGTCTTTGGGCCACCATCATCAACTTCATTTTTTTAAATACGGACCCTAATTTTTTATTTCAGATTTCATAAGCTTTTGATGTCCCAAAACCAATGACGTATTGCACTTATTCAAAAAATTTATAGTAGGTATTGGTATTTTCTATAAGAACCAAATGTGTTAGAGAGAGACAGAGAAGAGAATTTTGGTAGGAAATTATTAAAAAATAGAAAAAATATTTTTTCGAATAAATACATACGTCATAGGTTTTGGGACATCAAAAGCACTAAAAATCTGAAATAAAAAATCGATGGTCGTATTTAAAAAAATAGAGTTGATGATGGTGGCCCAAAGACGAAACGTCAGATTTCAAATTTGATAGTAGCTTCTTGTAGGGGAGAAAAAGTGGCTAGATAAAGTGATATTTTTTTTGGAATATCACTTCAAATAAGTCAGGAAAAAATAAAAACAATTTTGCAAAATTTCGGTTTTTTCCGGATATCTCGGGAAGTATTCGGGATATCCTAAATATCGAAACGGCATTTTGTTAAGTATCAAATTACGCAACTTTTCCCCAATTTAACCAACCCTGTATATCCTACACCGTTTCCGTGATCCAAATGATGTGGCTCGAATTTGAAACACCCTGTACAACCAAAATGGAATACTGTGTTTATATAAATAAAAATAAATACATTGCATATTAAATTTTGTTTAAAATTTATACTACCAATCCAGGCATACGGGAGGGATAAAATCGAATACAAAAATTGAACGAGGGTTGCTCTAGTGCTCCCTGAATTTAGCATTCGGAAACACTATGAAATAGATGTTTTTGGGCGTGGCACCCGGAAAAAAAATTTCGCTCACCCCCTCCCCCTACAAACAAATTTATAAAGTTATTTATTATTATCCTGCACCCATGAGGACTTTCAAAAGTCGGCGCCGCTGAGTAGTAGTGTGTATCCAAGGAGAATACACACTCTAAGGAATGCTTATCGGCGTCGTTTTTGGTAATCGCCGCCCTATAGGTGTGTTACCATTTCCGACGTCATTACTGAGTCGTCAGCTGTTTAAACAGCCTACGTCAAGGCGAGAAATAACATGCTGCCTACGTCACAACTGGTAATTTGGCTTGGAGGGGAGAAGGGGGGATTTGTTAAACACAAGCCTTATGAGGATAGGCCATCGGCCATCCTGTAGTAGTATAGTAGTAGTGTGTATCATCCTTGGTTTACACCGACCATATTAAGGGAGGTTCAACAATAACTATATCTTAAAATGACGGTTTCACATGTAAAAATGTCATTTTAAGCTATGCTCAATAATTTTTTTTTTAAGAATCACGAGTTTTATTTTTTATAGAAGAATAACACTATCAAAAGTCAATCTCAAATATTAGATATTTATTAATGATAAAAAAAAAGGTTACATGAACTCCCATATATGGCGCCAGCTGAAAAAAAATCTATTACCATTTTTAAGACGAACCTATTACTCTTTATGAAAGCAACCTGGCAACACTGATCCCATAGTGACCAAAAGGGGTTCAATTTCTGTGTTGGTGATACAGTTATCTAAGATCTAAGCAGCTGCTTTTTATTGTTTTTGATATTCTAGTTGGTTTGTCAATTAGTATTTTTAGACCATAAGAGTTTAACAGTTGCACAAACTCAAGTGAAGCCTGATCAACTGAGAGCAAATCCACATTAAAATCTCCATAGATAAATAGTGTTGTCTTTTTTTGAGTAAGAAATTCTAGAATTTTTTCAAGCAGTTCAAAAAATTTCATTGGTTGAAACGAGACTGTTGAAACTAGTTTTCTGATTGTTTTCAACCAATGGAATTCGCTCTGACTGAAAATTACAAATAACACGAGAATTATAGAAATAGAAACATCATACCTATATTTAGAAATTATAAAAAAAATTGAAACAAAAAAACATAATGAAGTTTGTTTGATTCTTGATCGAAATGGGAATAGAAGTGCTAATAATTTTTCGTTGTTCTCTATTCTGTTATCCACTTTTGCCTGAAGATTTTTAACTGAAACAAAGTACATGAATTATTTTTAATTTATTTACAAAATTAAACAAAAAAACTTACCATCCTTGACATCATTTATTTTGTTATGACATGATTTTCTAATATTTGGATTATTCTAGTTCTCTTGGTTCTCTTCAATTTTTTGGTTAAATTAAGAACATTTTGTTGCTGTTTATTTTCAATGTTCAAAAGGGCGCCGTGTTCTAGAAGTAATAGAACAACTTCTGGTTTATTGTTTGATGTGGCGTAGTGCAAAGGTGTATCTCCATTATTCTCTAGAACATTTAAATCGGCGCTATTTTTCAGCAATGAATTTACTACTGCACTGTGACCATTCTGAGATGCAAAATGAAGAGCTGTTCGACCAAACTTATCTTTTCTTTCTATTTCAGCACCAAATTTTAAAAGAATTTCTATCAAATGGGTGTCATTATGGTTTGAACTTGCGTAATGAAGTGGAGTGTTTCGATATTTGTCAGTGGCATTTACATTAAATCCGTTTTCAAGCAACAGATGAACAATTGCACTTCTGCCATTTTCAGCTGCATAATGAAGAGATGTTTTACCATCATTATTTTTTATATCTTTTTTCGCTCCATCATGAACTAAAAGTAATTCAACAATTTTTCTTTTTCCATCTCGAGCTGCCAAATGTAATTGAGTATTGCCATTTTCATCTATAGCATCCAATTGTTTTAAACCGAGTGATTGTAAAAAAATTTTGAAATCTGCATCTTTTGTTGTTGCTTCATCATGTGATAAAGTTTTTGCAGTTGATTCTACTTCCTTTAAATTAATATCCGTGCACTCATCCAAGGCTCTTGCTGAAGTTGATTCAATGTTCACTAAATTATTTTCAATCTCACAAAGGGCTTCATTATTGGTCAATAATATCTCATTTTTTTTCCACAATTCATTTAATTTTAATGTAAAAATATTCGTCATTTCATTATTCATCATAGTTTTTTCCATATGTTTTGAATTTTTCATAATGAATATGATTTTTCTACCATTCTCTTTGATAATGTTTATCCAAGATTCCAATATATGAGATTGTTGATTTAATAATTGTTCTTTATTATCCAAAATACAAACTAACAATTCAGGGAAATTTTTCAAAAATTTTTTATTTTCTTCTGCAGTCAATTTAATAAAACTATTGAAATTAGTGAAAATAATTTCGTTTAACTTTTCTTTTAAAATGGTATCCGTTTTGAAGTTTATTAAAACTTGGGCTAATAAAACTCTAGTTACATCAACATCTCCAGTTTCTAAACACAATATGGAGCCATCATTTTCTTGTAGAAATCCTTTGGTCCCATGTTTCAAAGTGAAATCCGTTGTTTTTAAATTGTAAAGAAAAGCTTGAGAATTTTCTCTCATAATTTGAACACAATCAACCATTTTAAAAATTCACTTTTAACTTCGAAAAACTATAAAAAATTAACTTAAGACAACTTTAAACTTTTCGTAAATTAGATATAAATTGAAATTTATTGAAAATATGTGAGAAAATTGAACTTGAATATATCATGTGACCAGTGTGGCTACGACTGCTCGAACGAACAATAGAAATAGACAAATGACAATGAGAGTTGACAATAGAAATACAATTAACATCTGTCAATAGTTGTATTCCTTTCAAGAGTTTGAAACACTCGAGCTACTCGCTCCGGTGTTCAGTCGCCCCCGATTTGCAGGGAGCAGATGCGTGGTGCAACAAACACTTTTCGAAAGGAATAAGCGCGTGAAGCCCCGGAGCTGTTCCGGAGCTCCTCCTAGGTGTGAAAGGAATACAACTATTAGGTTCCGTTACAGCTCTGGTTCTAAGGAGTATTAATTTGAGTTAAGGTTCCCAAAGTTAAAGTCCTCTGATAATGGTTAATTTGATGACGTCATCTGAGGTGCCTTATGTAGATTTGTATTATGTTGGAAGTGACACCCTAGATAACGTCATAAAAGTTATCGGGCAACCCAAACAAGCAACCTACCTCTCTCAAGCAACCTTGTAAACGAACATGCATTCAGTTACTCTATTTACTCTAAATAACGTAATCGACAAGTAAAGTGCCATTGCCAAGTATTTAGAGTGAAAAAGCCGAATACAGCCCTAGACGCTCCTATTTCTGTTCTAAACTCTAGAGACTTTTTTTATTTGAATCAAGGCAAATTTGAGAGTTGGTATGTTTGAAATATCCAAAATTGTACTCTTTTTAACTATTCCGATATTGTGTCCGGAGTGGAGTAAAATTATTTGCACCCAGGTAACAAAAAAAAAGAGTAGGAGTAAACTCCAAAAGTTTCAGATCATGAGGTAGAGCCTTTGGAGTATGTTCTAATTTCTCTACTCTGTAAATTAACGTTAAAAAAAAAAAGAATAATCGAACAGTTAGAGTGAATATGGAGTACTCTGTAAGGCCCTAAATTGTATTCTATTTGATTCTTTTATACTGCATTTCTTTTCGGAGTGAATAGAGTAAGATTATTTGCCCTCGCAAATGTATTTTAGTTACTCTAATTACTTTATTTACACTAAAAAGCCATTCCGAACAGTTAGAGTATCTACTTTATTGGTTCGGACGTTCGGGTACCGTTTTGGAGTAAACGGAGCTAAATTATTGGCGTTCGGGGTGAAAAAAGAAGACTCTAATGGCGCTTCCGATTGGTAGATCTTGTGCGAAACTAGTCCATTTTTTTCTATTTCTGTCTTTTTCTTCTACCGGTCGATTGAAAGGATGCAAATACACTCAGTGCGCACTGAATCTACTAATCAGAAACGCCATAACAGTTCTATTTCATAGATTGATTTCGATTTAGTCCAGGGGCGCCGGGTTTTAGAAAACCTCGTGGGTGCTTATACACATACACGGCAAATGGGGGGGGGGGAGGGGATGAAAAAAAAAGTTACGGGTGCCACGCTCAAAAACGTTTATATAAGGCTATGTTCCGAATATAACCAAACGTTAACTATTAGCTCTGTTCCAACAGACATAAGAACCGTTCCAGAACCAATAATTTCTAGTTTACACCTATTTTTCAAGTTGAACGTTTATCCTAATCGACAACTGAATTGATCAACTGGAAATTACCATTCTAGAACGGTTCTGGAACAGAGCTAAAGTTACTGAATCGGTTGACAGTTGGTTACTGAAAATTCCAGTTACTTGGAGAAAGCAAATATGAAATAAAAAAATAATTGACAGAAATTACAGATAAAACCAATGAACTATAGCTAAAAACTGGAATGCGCACACATTGCCATATTTGCCAAAAAAATGTAGCCATGAAAGATAGATGCCACAAAGGGGAATGTTGTTTTTTTCTGTTGCTTGCTGACATATGACGTTTTCGAAAGTTTTGTCATATTTCCCTTCACAGGTTTCATCAATTGGAATACGTGTTGGAAGCAATTTTCGCAATTTAACATAATGAGTGCGACAAAAACAGGTATCGCAGCAGCCGCACTAGGCCTCAAGTTCGTCCTTATGTGTTAGCATTCCAGTTTTTGGTTATAGTTCATTGGATAAAACCAACAGAACCGACAGCCGATGGCCGGTAACTATTTTGACATTTTGTTAACCGCAGATTTCAGGAAACCGAGGTTCAAAAGTAGTAACTATGTTGGCAACACAAGCCTTTTTTACGTAAAAAAATTGAAAGCATTTCACTTTGTATCATTATAGGTCTGTTTCCACAGAAATCCACTAGAAAAACTTGTCAGAGCGTTTTTGATTGATGCAAATCGCCAACAACCAATTTCCTGACTATTTTCAACCAATGAAATTCGCTGTGACTGGTTTGTGATTTCTGTTGAAACAGACCCTATATCGCCAAACTAATAGCCAATTTTAAACGATTGGCCAGTCAGTCATCTTGACAGATAAGCAATTCATTTAACGTCAGTTAAGACCAATTGGTTGACGGATGCTCAATTAATGGTTTATCTGTCAAGATGCAAGATCTAGGGAGAACAAACTATCGATAGGAATATCGATACTATCGATATTTTTTTAAATTTTCGATAGTATCGATAGTTCTGTACCAATATCGATAGTTCCAAAGTAGCCAAAGGTGAATGAAGACGTCTGTAAATTGAGGGAAATATAAATAAATCTGTAGCTGTTTTGAGAAATCTGTAATTATTTTTTTGAGGTAGACATGCAAAATAGGTTCGTTTTTTTTTATAGGTTAGAGTAGAGCCTAGTTTACGTTGTATTTAGAGTTTTTGAGTCTTTTTTTCTCAAATAAAAAAATATACCTTTATTTTTTGATTAATTTATACCAGTTATACAAGAGCAAACTATCGATAGTTTTTTTTTCAATAGTTTGTCAACCCTAGGTCAATCGCTTAAAATTCTTTAATTTTGAGACAGACTTTAACTAATTATTTTCAGTTTTTATCTCAATGCTCGTGGGTGCTCGGCACCCACTGTTTACGTCTCGTGGGTGCTCGAGCCCCCGAACACCCACGTAGTCGGCGCCCCTGATTTAGTCAATTCTTTTGACAATTTTCACTCTAATATTTCTGGCTTGAAGCCAGAGTAAATTTTACTTATTTCACTCCGTATAAACGAACACACATTTAGTTATTTTATTAACTCTAAAACGATCTTATCGAATAATCGAGATACTTTAGAGTGAAAAAGCAGAATACAATTCTAAACGCTCCTAGTTATGTTCTGAACTTCTGAAGACTCTTTTTGATCGAATTAGTGCAACTTTAATGGTTAAAGTGATATGGAGTACTTAGAGTACCCAAATTCTACTCTTTTTGACTATTTTATGCTCCATTGACTCGGATATTGTTTTCGGAGTAAGATTACTCATGTTACTCGGGTAACATGCTGTTCGAAATTGTATTCTTTTTGACCATTTTATACTCCTCTGCTTCGGTATTGTGTTTGGAGTAGGTGAAGTAACTTTATTCGTGTGCGAGTTGTGAAACTTTTAGAGTAAGTTTTATTTATTCAACTACTTTATTTACACTAAAAAGTCATTTTCAGTTGGAGTATCTTTTTTATTGTTGGTCGGAATTTATAGAGTACTAGGAGTGAAAAAATCGAACATAATTAGAACGATATTGACAGTTAAAGTAATCTTGGAGTACTCAAAATTGTATTCTTTTTGACTATTTTATACTTCTCTGCTTCAGATATTGTGTTCGGAGTAAGTGGAGTAGGTTTATTTGCGTGCAAACTGTGAAACTTTTAGAGTAAGTTTTAGTAACTCCATTACTCTATTTAATTGAAAAGTGATTTCCGAACAGTTGGAGCTACTTTATTGGTTTGGGTATCATTTTGGAGTAAACAAAATAAACAGGTAATTTTTCGCGAGGATAATCAAGCATAATCTCTTGTTGGATTATGTGATGTGTCATTTGTGTCATACTCTCCTGACGCTTCCTCCATTCAATACTGGGATACTCAAGGATCAAGCGAGTGAGAACAGACCGAAAATCACTTTTTTTACATTTGAAATCGACGAAAAAATTAATTCACTAGCACAGCCTGAATTGCAAGTATTTTATCGAGGTCTGCGAGTGACGTCATCACTATACAAGGAAGATACACACCTACAAGATTGCTTATTAGTATTAGTCATGTTTTTGGTAATCGAGACCATATTAATGTGTCACCATTTCCGATATCATAACTAAATTGTCAGCTGTTTAAACAGTTACGTCAAGGTGAGAAATAACAAGCTGCTACGTCACAACTGGTGATTTGAAGGGTTGGGGCCGTTGAGGGAATTTGTTCCACACAGGCCTTATGAGGATAGACTATTCTGTTAAAGTAATGTATATCATCCTTGACCACTATAAGCTTTTACTAGTGACGTCACTCGCAGGCCCAGAATTGCTTGATTATCCTCGCGACAAATTGCCTATTATTTAATTTCGATCACATAATAGGCAAAGAGGAAGATGCAAACGAGATCTAAACAAGGTTTTTTTTAGAATGTTGAATAATGTACTAAAAATCAAATATGCATATAACAAAAATCAGCGTGGACCGGAACCGGAACGAAACCCATATTTCATAAAAATGTTGTAAGAGCCAAACAGCTCTCCATTCACCATCTCATTGTGGTTATCGTGCAGTAGTAAATTTATTGCTGACAAATGGCGCCAATACATTTTCCCAACGACCAAAGACCAAATTATAGGACCAAATAGATAACAAATAAACGGTTGACAAATGACAGTTCACAATGGCGGCTGAAAATCAACATCTGTCATTAGTTGTATTACTTTCACACCTAGGAGGAGCTCCGGGGCTTCACGCGCTTATTCCTTTTGAAAAGTGTTCGTCGTACGTCGTACCACGCATCTGTTCCCTGCAAATCGGGGGCTACTAAACACCGGAGCGAGTCGCTCGAGAGTTTCAAACTCTTGAAAGGAATACAACTATTGAAAATGATATCCTTGAAAATAGAATTCTATTTATCGAGATTGGAAATTGAAAAATCTGGTATTATTTGATTTTAATGCAAAAAAAATACCAATAATAAGTTGAAAGTGAAATATTAATTTTTTTCCA